ACAAGATTTAGAAAATAATGCATTGAAAAGATTATCGGTTTGTGTTCCTCTTTATTTAAGATATGTTGACGATGTTTTAATGACCATACTTTTTAAGATGACTCAGACTGTAGTTGACACTTTCAATTCTTTTCATAGAAGACTCCAGTTTACATGTGAGATTGGTCGTGAAAATAGCATCAATTTTTTATTATAGATATTAACATTTAGTGGGCGATATTTTTGAGCTAGACAAATATCATAAATCTTCTTTTTCTGAAAGAAACCTGAACTTTTTTTCAGGACATCCGCTATGTAAAATGGGATCTATTATTGACCTTAACGACAGAGCATTCTTATTATCATACCTAAAACATCATAAAAAGAAACTTTCTTTGGTGATTCAAATCTTGCTAACAAATGGTTATTCACTCCAGGTCATACTTAGTACCTTGAAGAAACGGTTAATAAAAATAATAAATTTGGAACAACAAATAATATTATTAGTAATCGTATTTTGACTGATAACGATTACCTAGACACCTCCAAAAATTTTTTCTTATTTATTATATTAAGTTTTCGGAAAACATTAGTCAAATTATAAAAAAACCGTGATATTAGAGTCGTGTATGCCGGTCAAAGTAGACTCAATTAGTTAATCAAATCACAAAAAGATATTTTGGGAAAAGATTTATAAAGTGACGTAGTTTATAAAATTTTATGCAAAAATTGTGATGTTTCTTATGATGGGTAGACTGGCAGACAACTTAGAACACATATAAAAGAACACTAACCAACTCACTAAAAATACAAATGATTATTTTGTTGTTTCCCAAAACATAGGCTTGAAGGTCATAAATTAAATTGGAAGGATGTTTTAATTTTGGACAGCGAAGTTTCTTTTACAAGGTGCTTGATCTCTGAAATATTTTAGATTATTCAACAAAAAAAAATGGTTTAAATTTATAGGGAGATATACTGAATTTACATAGAGATAACATATCGATTATTGAGATTTCCGAGTGTTTAATTTTATTCCATTTCTATTTATTATTTGGTTTTTTCGATCTTGGTTTTTGTATAACCTCGATCGAAGTTATTGTTATGATTCTTACGTTACAGTATATATAAGATATAAATATTTCTCCTCTGTTTGGCTGATCTTCATATTCGTGCCTACTTTATTTGTATCACCAAGTTCGTTTGAGTTTCGCAGTTTGACTGTTAGGTAAATTTTAATTGCTTCTTTTGGCAACAAATCAAGCTCCGCGGTCACGGCGCGACGCCGAGTACGTATGAAACAAAATAACGCGACCATGTAAGCTTATCTGGATATTCTAGGTCGATTGGTCTTCCGAGTCAAATATCTCAAGCATGAAAACTATAATCGAAATTTGATCAAAGTTTTCTTATATAATGTTTAGCGCGCTTAATTTACACGAAGTTTGATTAAGATTGGTGCAGGCAATACGGAGATCTCGAAATTACTGTAAATTGAAATATGTTACAATAACATGCTTGAAACGTGTTAAAGTATGTCTTCACTTTAGATATACTAAATCAGCAAATTAAATTAATACATATAAAAGGTGTAGTAAAAAGAAATCCATTATTTTTCCATGAAATTGAAGGCTTTATTTAGCATAGTTAGAATGATCCAATTTAAGTCAAATATGCATCATTTTGTTCGATAACTTGTTGCCATTTTGAAAGTAATTCCATTATGCCTCTCTCATAGAAACCCTTGTCCCTATTGACAAAAAACTGGGACAGTCGATTTTCACAAGCTTCTCTTGAGGCGAATTTTTCACCAGCAAAATCATTCGCCATAGACAGGAACAGGTGGTAATAACTTGGTGCCAGGTCCGGACTATAAGGTGGATGCATAAGAACCTCCCAACCAAGCTCCCGGAGCTTCTGGCGAGTCACTATCGATGTGTGTGGCCTGGCGTTGTCCTGATGGAACACAATTCCTCTCCTATTGGCCAAAGCTGGCCGCTTCTGGGCGATTGATTCCTTCAGACGGTCCAATTGTTGACAGTACAGGTCCGAATTAAGAGTTTGGCCGTAGGGGAGCAGCTCATAGTGGATGATTCCCTGCCAATCCCACCAAACACACAGCAAAGCCTTCCTGACCGTCAATCCTGGCTTGGCCACCGTTTGCGCCGGCTCACCGCGTTTCGACCACGACCGTTTTCGCTTGACGTTGTCGTAAGTGACCCACTTTTCATCACCAGTCACCATCCGCTGCAGAAATGGGTCGATTTTGTTGCGATTCAGCAGCGATTCGCAGATGGAAATTCGGTCCATGAGGTTTTTTTGCGTTAACTCGTGTGGCACCCATACATCGAGCTTCTTTTTGTATCCAGCCTTATTCAAATGGTTCCAAACGGTTTTTTGTGCAATATTTAGCTCCTGGGCAATCGAAACAGTGCTTACATGACGGTCGGACTCGACGATTTCCATTATTTTATCGACATTTTCGACAATTGGCCTCCCAGAGCGTGGTGCATCTTTGACATCAAAATTACCAGAACGGAATCGACGAAACCAAAATTGCGCGTGATTGGCTGTTACAGTATCAGGACCATAAACACTATTCACATTTTCAGCCGCCTGGCTTGCGTTTCCGCCTTTATCGAAGAAAAATTGTAAAATATGGCGTATTTTCTCTTTGTTGGTGTCCATCTTTGACGCGCACTCAAACAATACTGAGTCAAACAATCACAAAACTGTCTGAGAAGTTTTTTTAGTACAAAATCTTATCTTTCTAACGCCATCTAGCGTAAACCGATCGCACTTATACAACGCGAGATACACATTACTAAAGCCATCTATTGGAAAAATAATGGATTTCTTTCGGGAGCGGTGTACTTGGACACGGTGCATTTGGACACAGCCAATCACAGCACCGTGTGATTAGAGACATTTGTAGGGTCCCTTGGAACAGCGACTTGTGATTGGACTGTGTCCAATTGCCCCGTGTCCAACTGATATACATCCATTTCTTTTTACTACACCTTATATGTTAAAAGAATATATGTTAAAAGAACACATTTCAGGTATGTTCACCTAGTTCGTAGATTAACATGGAAAACTCACAAATAGAAAAAAAGGATGTAGGTAACTATAAACTAAGAAAGATGTATTGGCTAATTTATATAAATCAATCATCATGCCGATGTGGACATATGGAATACAACTGTAAGAATCAACCCCCATTTCTAATATAGAAATCTTAGAAAGATTTCAATCTAAGATAATTCGAATTATGACAAATGCACTTTGGTTTGTCACTAATGAAATCTTACAACGAAACCTGGAAATCGCCTCCGTCAAAGACACGATTAAAACCTATGCTGCGAGGTATGCACTTAGACTAAGACTTAATAGTATATAGACTAAATTCTCATCCCAACCAACTTGCCTCCAAGCTACTCCCAGAAAAAACAAACGGAGATTAAAGAGATTTAAATCATTAGATTCTTCCAGTAAAATTGAATAATATCCCTAACGAAAACATTATACTTCTGTAATTATAATCAATCTTACATCTAAAAATTGTTATTGTAAAGGCATATTCCATTGGGTTTATTCTAGCATATTACTTTTATCTATTATAAGTTTTATTTATTGTCTTAATGATAGATTGTAAATACACTGGGAGTTAATGAAAAAAAGAAAGTAATATGTATGTTAAATATAATCGTTTGTATACTTGTTAATGGTTAGATGTATTAAAATAACACACGTTCAGTGTGTTATAAAGGTTCCGGTGATTGGTGGTGGATGTCCACGCGGACTTTGGAGTCGGGATGGATGTTAGTACCTGGCGGAGTAATATGGCGTTGGCTCCTATGCTCGCCAGACGCCGTGAAACGCCATGCTCACTGTGGAAGAACCGCTCCTCCCGGTTTCCTGTATCTGCGTGGAATTTGAAGTCACTGATCGTGTCTTTATTGGCTGTTTCAATAATGGCTCGCGGTACACCGCCGCAACCGGACACGTCAGGTGGCGAAAAGAGGAACGCCCACCAGATATGGTAAGTACCGGTGAATAACCCTACGGGGAAATAAGCCGGCGCGTACCAATGATGAGAAGAGTTCTAGAGGATGCGGGGGATACCTGTGGGAAGGATGCACCGCAAATCACGCATCCGAGGAAGGAAACTCTTCTGGGGCGAGTGGATACCGCCCCACTTGGGGAGACGGAGTGCTTGCAGAGGAAACTGATTCAGCTGAGGAATGAGAATACACTCCTCAAGGGCCAGGTTAACGACCTGTGTAGACAAACAAAGGAGGGCTCTTCTCGAAATCCGAAACGAGAGGAAAACAGGCCATCTCCTCCAAATCCCCGGAAGGAACACAAGGGGGGAAAGAAGAGGAGAGTGACGATCCTATCGTCCGCCTCTTCGGAGAACGATGAAGAAGGGATGGATTGGGTAAACAGAGATTTCTCCCCCATGCCATCTGTAAAAGCCGGGATTCAAGCTCGTAAAGAGGCCGCGGAGGACATCGCCGCAGGTACCTTGCCGACAGCAATGAGACTTCCAGTAAGGGACCTATCGATCCCGGTCAGGGGGAGCGGCCGGCCGCCTAGCCATCGGGGAAGGCTCCTTCGGTAGAACCACCGGCATCGGCCGGAAAGCCGCGAAACGGCAAAGAAGATGGTCCTACCCCCTGGACCGCCAACACCAGTGGCCGGGGGAGACAGGGAGCATAGAGATCTTGGTAGAGTCTCTGATCCTTAGGATCGCGGCCGGCCTTAGTCTGGAACTTTCACAACCCCGGTCCTCCCCTTCTTCCTCTATTCCCTCTAGGAAGAAAAGTAAGAAGAAAAAAAGGAAGAAGAGGAAAAAGGACTCCCCACCTGTCCAGGTTAAGAAGGGCGCGGACGAAAAGAAACAGCCTGACTCCAAGACAGGCAATGAGGGGAGAGAGAAGGGAAAGATGGCCAGCCCTAAGACCGCTCGCACAGCCGCAATCACGATAATCTGCCCCAAGGGCAAGTAAGCGGAAGTGATGTGGCTGGCGATGGAGAAAATCAACCCCGGGGAATTCAGGATCGGGGAAAAGAGGTCCAGGGCCACCGTCACAGGAGCCCTGGTACTGGAGATTCCTGGTCTCGAAGGCCATTCGAAGGCGGATGCTCTAGCTGCCAAAATGTCCGTTCTCTTAAAGGGAGGTCGTGCGTGTGGCGCGTTCCGTGAAGAGGATGGATCTGCGGGTCCGCGATCTGGACGCCACGGTCACCGCAAAGGACGTGATCCCTGGGGGAATTGCGGGCTGGATTGCGGACCGGAAGCAATCAAGGTCGGGTCAATCAAACACGCTCCAAATGAGACGGGAACACTGTGGCCACACTGCCTCCTGACAGTGGCGCAAAAGATCACGGGCGGAAGCCGCCTCAAAGTGGGCTGGTCCTCCGTCTGCGTAGAGGCCATCACGCAGCGTCCATTACAGTGATATTGTTGCCTGGGGTGGGGGCACGTGAGGGTTACATGAGGGAACGTGGACCGTAGCGGACTATGCTAACGCTACGGATCTATAGGCCACAGGGCTGCCGACTACAGGACAGAGGCCAGCTGCATTCTGTGCAGATAAGCCAAAAAGCTATGTAATCATTAAATGGGGAGCGCCACTTGCGCGGCGGTAAAAAAAGCGAACCGTTGAAAGACGGAGTCAGCCATCCCGCACGCTCCCCAACCGAAGGAAAAGGGAAAAAAGCCCCCCCTCCAAGGAAGGGGGAGACTTCACAAGAGCCCACTAAACTCAAGACTGTGCCCAAGGGTACGAAGAGAAGGTCCCTCCTCCACAAAAGACAAGAGGGCCACAAAGCCCAGATCCGAAGCATCCACTAATTTGCCTAAGGAGGTTGCGCATGACGAGAGAAAAGGAGATGAAGGTAGGAAAGAGCAAAGTGCTTCCCTCTATTTCAAGTAGAGAGTACTTCAAAGAGAAAGAAGTATTCCCTTCTCCATAGTCAATATGGAAGTAGAGGAAGAAAGGAGCCTGGATAGGGCGGTAGGAACATATGCAAAAATGACTACCCTATTCCTCCAGTCTAACATAAACCTAAACCACGCTCGGGAGGCGCTGGACTTCTTCCTGCATATCCTCGCCGAGTGATTCGGGGCTGGCTGCCGAGCCCTATGTCCCCGAGAATCATCCGTGTGTCGCGAGTGACATGATGGGTGAGAAAGGGAACTGCTCGGTGACCATATTTTGGAGAGCCTCTTGAACCTCATTCTCCTTTTTCGTTCTGAAAAGGGGGAACGGTTTTGTTGCGGTCAAGTGGGGGGCCGTGAACATAGTTAGGTGTTACGCTCCACCTTCATGGAGCTATGCCCACTTCAAGGCGTACTTCGACCGACTGGGCGATCTTGTCAAATGATGAGCTCCCAGACCGGTCATAGTAGCTGCGGAACTCAATGCCAAATCTGGCTTGTAGAGTTCCCCTTTCGCAGACGTCAGGAGCACGGACATGGGGGGTTGGCTCGCGTCTCTCGAGCTCTGCGTCTTGAACAAAGGCCGTAGAAGCATTTTCGTAGGATCGCGGGGATCCTCGGTGATAGACATTATCCTGGCTGTTCCCCCCGCGGCCTGGCGAGAAAAGGAATGGTGGATGGCGACCGAGATGGAAACACTCTCGGACCATAGGTCCGAGTGGTCGCCATCCTCGAGGAGGTGCTTCTGAGGCGTGGCCATGGGGACATCCAACCAAAAAGGTGGTCCCTCACTAAGCTCGACCGCGACGGTCTGAGGGCCGCTATTCGCGGTGCAACTTTGTCGGACGTGGGCTATCTAGAGTGGTGCGGCTATAGAGAGGGAGACAGAGGGGATTCGGGGCATAATGGAAAATACGTGCGACGCGGCCATGTTCCGGTCCCGCCCTTTTCCTCGCCGATCCGCCTACTGGTGGACAAGAAAGATCGCCGAATTAAGGAGCTCCTCGGTCTGCGCTAGGCGGGGACAAGATGGGCCGCGAATAGCGGCCTGCAGGGAGTCCCTCCGCGAAGTGCGGGAGGCCTTCAGAAACGAAATTGCCAAGGCTAAGTTTCGCGCCTGGGAGGAATTGACCTCCACCATCGACAGGGACCCGTTGGCCCCCTGTCCGGCGCCTGGCCGGTGGCCTCCGCGGGATGTTATCTCCAGCGACTCCCGCTGGGAGTCACATTGTGATGAAACGTCTTCGCACATGAGCGTTCCTCCAACGGAGTTCCTGGACCTGACGTCCTCGAAGAGGTGGTGGGAACCTTATTCCCAAAAGGGATAACAGCAATCTCCCTTATGAAGGTCCCCTCCCAAACTGGAACGAGGACGAGCTCGAGGTCACGGAGGTGGAGACGACCCGAGCCGTCAAGAAATTCGGCGCCAAGGGCAAGGCGCCGAGTCCTGACAGCATGGGATGGGCCTTGTCTTGGCCTCAAATAGGTGAGAGAATTTGGCACCTTTTCCCAAGCTGTCTCGCGACTGGGATATTTTGAAGTGTGTGGAAAAGGACCAGAATGATCCTCCTCTGCAAGGAGGGCAAGAAGGAGAACAGCCCTTCTGCGTTCAGGCCAATATGCCTATTAGAGGAGGTGAGCAAGGTGTTTGAGTGAATTATTTTTTCCCGTCTCGTCCGGTATTTGGCCAGTAGTAATCCTGCGCTCCACTAGAAGCAATACGACTTTCGGGAGAGTAGATCGGTGGACGCAATACTTCGCGTCTGCTCCCTTTTGGAAGTCGTGGAGGAGAGCGGGG